ATATATATATATATTCACTACTACAATTATAACATATCTTCTTTTGCTCTTTATTGTTTGATCGATCTTTGTTCTATCCATTTGTACCAGCAGTTCCAGCTGTCATAGTACATTGATGTATCTTTTCCTTTTAATGCCAAAGTTAATTTGTCCATCTGTGCACAATTTGCTATTTTTTGAATAGTTAATTCCTCTGGTGGAATATGATGTTGCCTCCAACATTGTGCAAAGGCCAGTCTGGCCACTGTCAAAATATATACTATTGTATCCTTCGCTTTTTTTGAGATTTGTTTATTAAAGATCCCTAAAAGAAAGAGTTCTGGTTTAAACTCGATCTGTTCTATTGTCATGTCCTCCAACCATTTTCTAATTTTCTGCCAATATTTTTGTGCCTCTATGCAAGACCACCACATATGGAAGAAAGTTCCCTCCTTTTTTTTACATTTCCAGCAATTTGTACTCATGTTGGGGTGCATTTTCACTAATCTTGAGAGGGGAAGGTGCCATCTGTAAAACATCTTATAGGCATTTTCCTTATAGGCTGCCAATTTTGTGGTTTTATTATTTCTACTCCAGACCTCCCATTCTATTAAAGTGATACTACGTCCTATATTCCTACTCCAGGCTATCATATTCCCTTTGACAATTTCTTCCTCTAATTCTGCCTCTAATAGGTAATTATAACATTTTGTTATTTTTTTTGGTCTGGGCCTAATAGAATTTTGTCTAGTTGCTGAAGTTTATTATGATTCCAAATTCTTTCTTATTCTGTTTGTATCTACTCTGTACTTGAAGATATGCCCATCTGTCGATTTGTACTCCTTGGTCCTGCAGATCTTGCTTCAAATTTCCTTGCGCATCCAATAAGTCCTTGTATTTAATCATCTTACTAATATCCAAATTATTTGGGTGGATCATCGCTTCCATTGTTGAAATCCAGATTGATATCTTTAAATAATGTTTTCTCCTTATTTTCTTCTAATTAGACAATATTGCATCTCTAATTAAGTGTCTGTGAAAGTATTTCTGGGTGGTTTTCCCGATATCCCATAGGAAAGCATACCACCCCCTCTGTAGGTCATGGCCTTCTAAAACTAACATTCTCTTGTTCACCCATTCCTTCAACCATACTAAAAAGGCCGCACTATAGCACAATTCCCAATTTGGAAGGGCCATCCTTCCCCTGCTCTTCATATCTTGCATTGCCTTTAAATTTATCCTCGTTTTTTTCCTTTGCCAAATGAATTTTGTGATTATTTTATTAAGTTCTTCAAAATACTTTTTGTGTACTTTAATTGATATCATCTGAAATATATAAAGAAATTTTGGAAGAATAGACATTTTAATCATTGCAATTCTACCTAATAGTGAAAGTTGCAGTTTACCCCATGTTTCTAAATCCTTTTTTACCTGTTGCAATAGTTTGTTGTAATTATTTTCCTTTAGTGTTTTGCAATGTGCTGTCAGCCATATTCCTAAGTATTTAACTTTCTTTATCACTTGAAATCCCATGACCTTTTCTAATTCTAACTTCTGTTTTCCTGTTAGATTTTTAGTCATTAATTTCGTTTTCTTTCTATTAATTTTTAATCCTGCAACTACTCCAAATTGTTCTAACTCGTTCATCATTTTTTGTCCTCTTTCAATTGGCTCTTCAATAAAAAAAACCATGTCATCTGCAAACGCTTGTAGCTTATATTCTTCTTTCTTAACCTTTAATCCTTTTATGTCTGGATTCTGTCTAATACATGTTAATAATGTTTCCAATGCTAATATGAAGAGCAGGGGTGAGAGTGGGCAACCCTGTCTGACTCCTTTCTCTATTTTTATTGGGCGGTTATATTCCCCATTTATCGCCTGTTGTGTGTCGTAGTTAGTGGTTATAATATTTTCAAATTTGGTGCTTAAATTCATGTTATAAATTCTTTGGATTAAAAATTGCCAATTCAAGAGACAATTGTTAGGAAGAGAGTTTTTCTACCTTGTTTAGATTGTTACCTCTCTGTATAATCTGTACAAACAGAAGAAAAGTATGAAGAGTAAATTTATAAAGTAAACTTTATTGATTTTACAATTAAAATAAACAAAAACATACACAACATAGAAAAATAAAGACAAATAACAAAAAACAAATAAAAGACAATTCCATTATCGACAGTTGGTGGTTCCTTATCTGTATCATTATTGGTGTCATATTTACAATTAAATCTTAATGCGAGTATATAATTACTACAGTTGTCACTTAGCCTCCTTTACAGTTTAATATTATTTAATATTATATTATCTATCTTTGTTCTATCCAATCATACCAACAGTTCCAACTCTTATAATATTCTGATGTTTCTTTGTCTTTAAGAGCTAGGGTCAATTTATCCATTTCTGCACAACTTACTATTTTCTGAATAGTCATTTCCTCTGTTGGAATATAGGATTGTTTCCAACATTGTGCAAAGGCTAATCTAGCTGCCATGAGTATGTGTAATATTATGTATTGGCTTTTTGGGGGAATTGTCTATTAAATATCCCTAGTAGGAAGAATTCTGGTTTAAGTTCAATCTGTTCAGCCGTAATTTCCTCACCATTTTTTGATTCTCCGCCAGTATCTTTGGGCTTCTATACAGGACCACCACATGTGTAGGATGTTCCATGTTTCTTTTTGCACTTCCAGCAATTCGGATTCATGTTGGGGAATATCTTTGCTAGTCTCGAAGGAGAGAGATGCCATCTGTAGAACATTTTATAGGTGTTTTCTTTGTATGTTGCTGATTTTGTAAATTTTATTATTTCTGGTCCAAATCTTTTCCCATTCTATTAAAGTAATGCTGCGTCCTATATTTTTACTCCAAGCTATCATATTACCTTTGACTACTTCGTCCTCTAGTTCTATCTCTAATAGGTAATTATAAAATTTTGTTATATTTTTTTATCTGGACCTAATAAGATTTTATCTAATTGTTGTGGTTTACTATAGATTCCAAAATCTTTCTTATCCTGTCTATATTTATTTTGTACTTGGAGATACGCCCACTGGTCAATTTGTAGCCCTTGTTCTTGGAGATCTTGCCATGATTTTAAAGTTCCTTGTGTATCCAGTAAATCTTTGTATTTTATCATCTTATTAATATCCAAATTGTTCGGATGGATCATCGCCTCCATTGTTGAGATCCAAATCGGGATTTTTAGATACTGTTTTTTCCTTATTTTATTCCAATTGCCCAATAAAGAATCTCTAATTACATGTCTATGGAAATAATTCTGTTTGGTTTTCCCCCGTGTCCCATAGAAATGCATGCCACCCCCTCTGTAAATCGTGGCCTTCTAAGAATAGAATTCTTTTATTCGATAAATTTTCCCATTCTTTCTGCCATACTAAGGAAGCTGCACTGTGGTATAACTCCCAATTTGGGAGTGCCATACCTTCCCTGCTCTTCATATCTTGCATTGCTTTTAAATTTATTCTCGGTTTTTTTCCTTGCCAAATAAATTTTGCAATTATCCTATTGAGTTCCACAAAGTAGTTTTTATGTATTTTAATTGGTATTGTCTGAAACAAGTAAATAAATTTAGGAAGAATAGTCATTTTGATAGTGGCAATCCTCCCTAATAGGGAGAGTTGGAGTTTAACCCATAACTCTAGGTCTTTCTTTACCTGTTGCAGTAATTTGTTGTAGTCATTTTCCATTAGTGTCTTACATTGAACCGTCAGCCATATTCCTAAGTATTTAATTTTCTTTACCACTTGTAATCCCATTGCCTTTTCCAATTCTGATTTCTGTTTTTCTGTTAAGTTTTTGGTTATTAATTTCATTTTCTTTGTTAATTTTAAGTCCTGCGACTTTTCCAAATTGGTCTAACTCATTCAACAATTCCTGTCCTTTTTCAATTGGATCCTCAATAAAAAAAAAATACCATATCATCTGCAAATGACTGCAATTTATATTCTTCTTTCTTAATCTTTAACCCCTTTATTCCTGGGTTCTGCCTAATTCGCATGAGTAATGTTTCCAAAGATAGTATGAAGAGCAGGGGTGATAGTGGGCATCCCTGTCTGACTCCTTTCTCTATTTTTATTGATCGAGTATCTTCTCCATTGATTATGATATTCGCCCTTTGTGAGGCGTAAATTATAGTGAAAATGATTTCAAATTTAGTACCTAAGTTTATATTATAAATTTGTTGGATTAAGAATTGCCAATTTAAATTGTCGAAGGCCTTCTGCGCATCCAAGAATACAAGGGCTATTTGTTTTTCCGGATGGGCTTCGTAATATTCCAAGACATTTAACACTATTCTTAGATTATCACTAATTTGTCTGTTGGGGAGAAATCCATTTTGGTCTTTATGTATAATATATTCATTCAAAATTCTTTTTAGTCTATTTGCTGATAGTAGCAAATATTTGTAGTCAGTATTTAACAAAGAAATTGGTCTATAGTTTTGTATAAGTCGGAGATCTGAATCTTCCTTCGGGATCAGCAAAATTGTAGCTGCAAGTAAAACCTCGTTATATACTTCCACCATAAGGGGTCCTATTTGTTTTCCTATTGCCTTGTAGAGTTCCCCTGGGATCCCATCTAGTCCCAGAGTTTTATTTTATTTTTTTATTTTCTATTGCTGTTTTCAGTTCAGTCCACGTAATATCTTTGATTAGTATTTCTTTCATCTCATCCCCAATTACTTTATCTTTTGTTTCGCCCAGGTAATTTCTTATCATATCCTCATTTACCTCCTCTTTTTTATAAAGATCTTCAAAATATTGATATGCAATTTCTTTTTTCTGTTCTATTCCCTGTTGGGCATCCCCATTTCCATCTATTAATTGGTAAATTAATCTTTTTTCTTTTTCTTTTTTGAGTTTGTAGGACAGCCATCTCCCTGGTTTGTTAGCCTGCTCAAAGAATATCTGTCTAGCTGTATTCAACTTTGTAATCATTCCTTCCTGTTCAATTAAGTTCAATTTGTGTTTAATTATTATCATCTGATTTTGCAATCTACGATCCTCTGGGGTACTTTGTAACTGTCTTTCTAGTTCTTTAATTCTTTGTTTTAATTTATTTTGCTGGGCATAATTTTCTTTATTCCTCCTGGCAGTATATGATATTGTTGTGCCCCTTATTACTGCCTTCATTGTATCCCAAATATTTTGCTTCATAGTTGCCTCATTATTACTTTAAAAAGTAATTTAGTTCCTCCTTGAGTCTGTTCATAAATTCTTTTTCTTTAATTAGCTGTATATTTAGCATCCACCTTTTCTTTGGCTTTTTCCTACCTTTCCACAGTATCTGAATTGGGTTATGATCTGCCCATTCACTGGGTAAAATTTCAATCTCTTTTAACTCATTTGCTATTTCACCGTTCATCCACACCATATCAATTCATGTCCATAATTGGTGTGGATTTGAGTAAAATGTAAATTGTTTTTTCTCCGGGTTTACTTTCCTCCACATATCTATCAAGTTTAATTCAGGCATCATTTCCTCACATGTTTTCGGTAACTCTCTCTTTTTCTTCCTCTTCCTCCCCCTGCTGTGATCTTTTTGATGGTCCACAATAGCATTGAAGTCCCCTAAGATACAAATATTCCTTTTTTCTAGTCCTACTATTTTTTCATGCAAATGTTTAAAGAATTCTTTTTGGCTTTCATTAGGGGCGTAAATTATCACGAATAGAGTTGGGGTTGAATTAATCCAGATTTGTAAAACCAGAATTCTTCCGTTGGGGTATGTCCAAATTAAATCTGCTTACATATCCTCTTTCACATATATTGCTATCCCTTTCTTTTTCCGGGAGACTGCTAGTGTTGTGTATAATTTCCCTAGCTTCAGGCATTCTAAATATTTTTCATCTGACTTCCTTAGGTGGGTTTCTTGTAAACATACTATATCTGCATTTTGTTTAATTAATTTGGCTAATATTCTTTTCCTTTTGTCATGGAATTTAGACCATTTATGTTAATTGATAATATTTTCTTTTCCTCATTCATTGTCTAGTTAATTCTTGCTCTCTGTCTTGTAGTTACTCCTCTTTCTCTTTGTGACTGGTAGTGTGTCCTCAATTCTTCTCTCTCTTGTTGTTGTTGTTGTGTATTTTTGGGGTTTCTGGGGCTCCCATCTCTATTCTTTTGGTGATCTTGGTCATCTTGGGAGTTTGATTCTAGTTCATCTTTGCTACTCAGTTCTTCTGGGCCTACCAGTCATTCATAAAATTCTTGGGCTTTTTCCATAGAATCTACTCTAATTTTCCTTTCTTCCCATGAAATTAACATCCCTTCTGAGATTAGCCATATAAATACAATACCTTTTTGGTTTAATTGGGCCGCCAAAAATTTATAGTCTCACCTTTGTTCTCTCACTCTTCTTGGGATTTGTTTAAGCACCATGGTTTCTTTATCTATATATGTAATATGGATATTTTGTGTATAATATCCTGGACCTTTCTTCTTGCAAATCTTACATGTACATCTTTTGGACATTTGTGGCATCTTGCATAATTTGTACTCACTCTATAAACTTTGTCTAACTCTTTCATCTTTGAAAGTATCATCTTTGTCTTTTTCCAACATTTCCACTAGTATTTCTGCTATCACCTGTTCCAGATCCTCTTCTTTTGATTCCACTATATTCTGGAATTTCAAATATGCTGCGGCCTTATCCATCTCCAAGTAGACCAGGGAATCTTCCATTTCTTTACTCACATTCCTTAGATGTTCATCAACCATTTCCAGTTTCTTTTCAGTTTGTTCTGTCCTTTTCTCTACCTCTTTTATTGTCAATTCGTTTCTCTCTAATGCTTGCTGAATTGTTCTAATTTTTTCATCCAACTTAGAGATATCTACTTTCATTTCCGTCTTTAGTTTCCCCATCTCTTCTTTTAGTTTGTTTGTATCAGCTCTTGTCTCAGTATGATTTTTCGTCATTATTTCTTGAAGCTTCAACATAGATTCTTGTAAGGTGAGGAGTGTCGACTGGATATTGGCATTCATGATAGAGGATTGCTTCTCCCCTGGTAATGTTTCCTCAATTGTCTTTTGTGCTATCGTTGAGGGTAATGCCGCTGTGGTTGTTAATGTTGGAATAGTCTTCTTCCCAGTTTTGATCGTTGTAGTAGTTGTAGAAGTCATTTCTTTGAGAATTTGTTTCTGTTTTTGTATTATATACGTTATTCCAAATTAACATTCAATATTCAATAATATCAGGTGAGAGTAACCACTAATCTAATTGATTGGTTTCTCTATCTATTAATTCCTGATTTCCTTAGTATATTGGTAGGCTAGACAATAAATGTAAATATTATCCAAGGTAATTTCAATTTTAAATTCTAAATCAGATATATAACTATATAAAATCCGGTACTTGTATCAAAATCTCTATATTTAACTTCTAAATATTAATAATCCAAATATCTATAAATACTATAGAACACTTAACCTAAGTATATATATTATAAAATAATATTTTGAATGTTTATAAGACTAAGTAGAAATAAGTTTACCTCACTATACAACAATTATTTAAAATGTAAATATCACAATTAATTATTCAATATAATATAATCAACAGATATATTCAAATGTTGATATTTAATTAATTAATTAATTAATTATAATTATTACTTAATTGATACTTATTGCTATTATCATTCCCCTTGTTTTCCCTATATTTTTAAACGATATAATAAACCTTAGTATTGCTAATGCGTCAACTAAATCAGATAGGCATCACAGTTACCACAATCAATGATCTTCTTTTCTTATCTGTACCTAAGGAAAGAAAAGAAAAAGAAAGAAAAAAGAAAGAAAATTGATATAGGAGGGATAGTTAGTCCAAACAGCAGAGATTAAAGGGCATGAAGTATCTTAATGTAACTGTTCAACTCTCTGTCTCTGAAGTTAGAAAGTTCCGTCTCCAAGCACACTGGAAGTGAAGAGTTGTTAAGTAATGTCTCTGATTTCACAGTCTCAAAGCACACTCCGCTATAGCCGTTCCTCCTTTCGCTCAAATCTCTTACAGTCAAATCTTCCAAATTTTATCACCTAATACAGTCTCTTCAATTAACACATTTTATCAACATATTACACCTCCAAATTGATAGTCCAAAAAACTCAAGTGAATTTTTAAGTGTCATCTATAGTAATACAGTAGCTTAGCTTACTTCACCGCTTCCAATCTTCCTCCCGTCTCCAACTTATTAATCCAGTCTTCCCAAATGAAAGCAATCCAAATCGCTCAGACTTTCCAAATGTTAAACTTTTTTTTCCCTGTTGGTATCAATGAAACAAACCTCTCCGACGTTCTTATCTTCTCTGTCCAATCATTCGCGTCCTTACCCTCTTCCATCTCTCGAGCCCTTTCACTTTCATCGCCACTTGCATCCGCTTCTTAGCCGCTTCGTTCAGGCTCTGATCTGACTGTTGTTACTGTCATTTATGGGACTTCTCCAATGCTCCATGCTCTATCAGGATTGCAAATTTCCTCACACACACTCTTTTCCGTTCACCACAGTCTGTCACTCACTCACTTCCTCTTGTAGATGACAGTTCGGACTTCAGGACCGCCATTACTGGTTGGTGGTCTCTTGTTTGTTGGTCTCTACAGGGTCTCTCTACATTGCGATGAGAGTCGCCTTCTCCACACCGCAACTCGAGTCTCCCCACACTGGCACATTTCTCTACAGGATACGTGCATCCCTGACAACAGCAAGAAAAGGTAGCAAAAAGCCATGAATGAGTTTCAGCACCTCTACTCATCCATACCTCATCACCAGAAGTCTGAAGAATAAATGTAAATGTGCATATTTAATTCATTTATGGATTTACCTTGTTGTTGCTGCTAAATTAGAATTATCTTTATACAGAGATTCTACTTTTTATTTTGTAAAATATACCCAGGGTTTTGAAGGAGCCTTATTATCCCTGGGGATTCGATCTAGTTTGGTAATGAAACATCTGCAAGAAAACAACCAGGCTCAGAGAGCACCAAGGATCCCATAGTTTACAGATTAAATCCTGAGAATAGAGAAATCTGTCTTATTTTTCTCATGTTCATCCTCTTTCCAGATGCTGCTGCTGTATCCATTCTGGAGCTCTGTGTAATCATGCATGTGATTACAGTTGTTGTTTCCTCTTCCATTCTTTTATCTTGTGGGCATCCCCACTGGGTAATTGAGAGGAAACAGTAGCACGAGTTAGCTACCATTTCCTGTTTGCTTTCTGCAAACATAACCAACTTCGCAGAGATTGTGGACAATGGCTCTGGCTCAAGATGTTTATTTTTTGCCACTTTCACAGTAGAGAGAAAGTGAATTGTGCACAATAATGGTTCTGACCACTCTGCTGTAGCAGTTGACAACTCTGTGATAATAGCTAAAATAAACATCTTACAAGTAGGCTGCCAAAGAAATGAATGAAAAGCACTCAGCCA